TAGCATGGTGGTGGGGAATCCTGGTTTACAGGAAACCAGCGCGATTGATTACATATAGGTCAGGGGAGCATAGGTCAATGGTAGACTATATATTGGTAAGGGCCAAACATAGGAAGTATGTGAAGAATATGAAGGCGATACCTGGTATGCTGCAGCATAGTATGGTTGTGATGGATGTGACATCAAAAGAAATGGGGAGGAGGAGAAGGATAAGTTTGTGGCAAAGAGAAAGACATTGAAGTTGCAGGATTCAGAGGTGAGGAAGGCATTTGAAGTGAAGGTGGTAGACTATATAATGGTAGACTATATATTGGTAAGGGCCAAACATAGGAAGTATGTGAAGAATATGAAGGCGATACCTGGTATGCTGCAGCATAGTATGGTTGTGATGGATGTGACATCAAAAGAAATGGGGAGGAGGAGAAGGATAAGTTTGTGGCAAAGAGAAAGACATTGAAGTTGCAGGATTCAGAGGTGAGGAAGGCATTTGAAGTGAAGGTGGCTGAAAATTGGGAGAGTGGTAAGGATGGAGATGTTTAGGAGAGATACAGGGACTGTGTGTTGGCTACGGCAGATAAAGTATGTAGATGGACGAAAGGAAAGTGTAGGCATGGTGAGACGTGATGGTGAGATGAAGATATAAGAAGGGTTTTGGAGGTCAAGAAGGAGAGGTTTAGGGTATGGAGAAGGGACATGACGGAGGAAGCGGAGTCTGAGTATAGGAAGGCTAAGAAAGCTGCAAAAGAGGCAGTGGCAACTGCAATGACGAAAGCATCAGATAGGTTAATGAAGGAAATGGAATTTGATGTGAGCTCGAGGAAAATGTTCAAAATAGCAAAGCAGTTATTGATGGATAGGAAAGATGTTATAGGGAATGGATGTGTTCGGGATGGATCTGGCAAGTTGTGCATAGATGAGGAGGAAAAAGCTCAGGTGTGGAAAGCTCATATGGAAAGGTTGATGAATGAAGAGAATGAGTGGGATGGAGATGTGGAATCCGCGGTTACACACGGACCTATAGAGAAGCTGACGATGGAGGAAGTAGAGAAAACAGAGAAATGAAACTAGGTAAGGCGACAGGGGTTTCGGAAGTGGTGGCAGAACATATAAAAGCGAGTGGGGTGATAGGAATTGAAGTTATGATGAAAATTGCTAACAGTATGATTTATGAATGAGGTATACCTGAGGATTGGCGACACAGTGTGTTGGTGCCGTTGTATAAGGGCCAAAGAGACGTGAGAGATTGTGGTCATAAAGGGGTGTGAAAATGCTAGAGCCAGGAAAGGAAGTAGTGGGAGAGGGGCTTTGAGAGGAGGTTGAGAATATGGGGACAGTTAATGGAAAGCTGTGGTGGGTTATGCCCTGTCGGGAGCTTTTTAGTTTAAGGGTAGGAGTGCATCAAGGATCAGTGTTATCACGTTTTCTGTTTGCAATGTGATGGATGCTGTGTGTGGAAACATAATGGAGGGGTTGTTATTTGAGGGTTAGGGGATAGTATGTGACAGGAGAGTGAAGGCTAACTCGGTATTGTGTATAGGATGTCAGAAATGGGTGCATAAGAGATGTAGTGGTGTGAGGGGAACACTGAAAAAGGTGGAAGGCACGCTCAAATGTAAGAAATGTGTTCATGTTGTGATTAATAGGACGGACGCAAGGACGGGGTTGAGTGGTGGTATTGAAAGAGTGGAAAGCTTTGTTTACTTAGGAGATAAGCTGAACGCGGATGGAGGATGTTTGAGCGCAGTTACGGCTAGAGTTCGTGTGGGATGGATGAAATTTAGAGAACTGGGTGGGGTATTGTGTGGAAAGAAATGGTCAGTGAAGATGAAAGGGAGGGCATGTGTGAGAGCAGCGATGGTATATGGTGTTGAAACTTGGGTGTTGAGGAGAGAGGAGGAAAGTGTACTGCAAAGGGCTGAAAGAGCTATGGTGAGGATGATGTGTGGGATTAAAGTGAAGGATAGGAGGAGTAGTACAGAGCTGATGTCGATGATGGGACTGAATGAGGACATTGTGACATTGATAAGGAGATCGAGATTGCGGTGGTATGGACGTGTTGAGAAGGGATGAAAGGGTCGGGATTAGGCGAGCGTTGGAGTTCGAGGTTGAAGGAGTGGTAGGAATAGGTCGTCCGCGATTGGGATGGAGAGAGCAGGTGAAGAAGGACAGAGTGAAAGCGGGGTTGCGTGGTACTGAGGCGAGTGACAGATGTGGATGGCGTCGAGGGGTATTTCGGTTTCATCATAGGTAGCCAAACGGCAACCCCCGATCTCGGGGAAAATGTCGTCTAAACGTGTGTTGTTGTTATATGTAGTTCATCTGTTAGGATCGTTACAGCCGATTGTTGGATGTTTATTACAGGGTTTCTATTTTCTATTAATAAAGCCTCTGCCATTCTCAAATTGCTTATATTATGCTTGTAATATAACACTATGGTATTTGAGTTTAAAATTGTCCTTGTTATTTTTATTTGGTGTGAATCCATTAGATAATTTTTTATTGCACCATTTTGTATATGCATTGTTAACCTTCTTGATAAAGTCGTAGTAGTAAATACGATATATTCTGTGTTTTAGTGCCTACAATCACCGATTTTATAAACAAAAAAATATGACTGCTTTTCATTATCGATTCTTGTAGTATTGCAATTATTTTTAAGAACAAGAATAAGGTTTCAAGTCCTGGGCATGACATAAAACTGCATCCACGCTGCCTTGCGTGCTTTTGAGCAATAGGCTAGGCCCACCGCTTATAACTGGTGTTTGTCGTCAGGATGGGTGTCCGGATGTAAAAACTTTCCCCAAATTATTCTATGCCATCAAAAACAAAAACAACGGCCCTAGTCCCCAGCGGGCCTTAAGTGGTCAAGGGGTGCTAAAAATCCCTAGAAAGTATGCAATAGCGAAGGGATATTGCAGAAAAATTCAGAATGGCCCTTCTATGGTACTTAGACTTGGAACGCTCAACGTTGGATCACTGACTGGCCGCAGCATGAAAATTGACATCTGCTGCCTTCAGGAGACCCGATGGAAATCGAATGGTGTCTGTCATATCAACTCAAACAATGTAAAATATAAACTATTCTGGAATGGTAAAAAGACGGCCAAAAATGGTGTTAGAATTTTTGTCAAAGAACCGCTAGCCCAAGAAGTACTGGATATTAAAAGGATTAATTCATGTCTTATGTGGATCAAGCTTCGCCTAGAATAGCAATCAATGACTATTTTTTCTGCATACGCATCACAGACAGGCGAATCAGAAGAGATGAAAAATGACTTCTGGGCTGCGTTCTCTGACACCATCTCAGCAATACCAAAGTCTGTATCAATCTTCGTTTAGCGTTCAGAAACCCAGTTCTCCTGAGGTAGGACGTTGTTTTCTTTGCCATCAATTTTTTGCGCCAAATTAGACGATCAATTGTATCCATTTCATTTAAATTTAGAGCTTTCATGTCTTGCTTAATTGTTTGCGACCAGGACTTCTTTGGACGGCCTTTGGGACGTGTGCCAGGTACTTCAACATCTGCAAGAGAAGTTTTGCATGACTTCGTTTGACATGACTAAACCAACGCAGACGGTGTTGCCGGCATTCGTACTTTATATCATCTAACCAGCACGACACAGGATTTCGGTAGATTTGATGTGGTCCTTCAGACTAATTCGTTGCATCCATCGGAGCATTTTCATATCGGTTCGGTGAAGTTGTCGTTCCAGTTTGGTTGTCATTGGCCACGTTTCTGCACCATATAACAACACCGGACGTATCACAGATTTATAAAGTCTTGATCTAGGTGGTAGTGAGATGTCACGCCGCATCAATATAAAGGCAAGGAGTTGCGATTTATTCCAGGCTGCACGTATGCGTGCTCGAACGGCAGCTTAGGCTGTTCCAGTACAATCTAGAACATCCCCTAGATATTAAATCGATGTGACTTTCTCTACCTTAATGGCTTTAAAGACATTGCTATTTCGAATTTGCTGTTGTGGAATGATGCAAGCAGGACAAACAAAATTGGGCACTTTAAATAAAGTACCAATTATTTTTGAGCAATGTTTGTGACACCAATGGTTACAATGCCGACACTTGATTGAATTGTTACCTACACCAGCTTTACAAACTGAACAGGGCCATCGTCCAGTAGCTGTGGATTGAATTGGTTCACCAGTGTTTATTGCTTTGGTTTTGCTGATGTTGACTTTGAAACCATGACCGGCGAGTCGGGTGTTCCAATCTTCAAACATCAGTGCTGCATTCTCAGACGTGGCTGTTAAAACGATATCATTCGTTCGCTTATATGGTGTCAATTTTACATAATAAATTATAAAATGAACAGGATTGAACATACATGGATATTTAAGCAAATAATAATATTGAACAATATAAATAATTAACACTAATTTAATGCAATATACATACAATTTAAACTATGAAAATGAAAATATGTAAAATATTATTATTAATAATGTTTTTTAATAACTTCCTAATTTTTAAGAATTAAATGATTCTATTATTTAAAAAAATATAAAAAGATAAAATAAATGAATTGTAATAAGTCAGTATTAAAACAACATTAAACAAACAAAATTCAAAATTACTTACAAATATTTTTAAAATAAAAAACCCTTAAAACGATACAATACGGTGCATAAATTATATAGAAATAGATAAGAAGAAATATACGATTATTTATAGAGTAAAGTATGAGAAATTAATCTAAATTTAAAATAAAGTTGTTTAATAAAAAAAATTTCCACATTTGTCCAAATTGCGAAATTCAATAAAACTTCTCAACGCTTTTTTCTGCCATTTTCTGCATTATATTATATTGGCAAATCAATAGTTTGGTTTGAGTTAGAAATTGGAGTTAAACACAGGTTAATGCCAGTTGTTAAAAATTTGCTCAAACAAACCGTGTTTACCCTACACTATTTTGGATAGTAACGCCTCTTTTCATTTTCCGGTGGTTAAAGAAGTTTCAGATCTTGGAGTCATTGTAGATGATAAATTGAAGTCTAATAGTCATGTTTTGAAGGTAGACAAAGCGAACTCTATGCTAGGTGTCATTGCCAGAAATTTTAAACACCTTTCTGACGAAGCTTTTGTAACTTTATAGAAGCCATTGGTGAGGTCGTACATGGAGTACGGTTAGAAAAATCAAACATCATACACATTTGCTAAAATGAAATTTATAAATTAAAAAAACGAAACATGTCGAATCATTTTTTACAGTAAATTCAGTAATATACTGACTTAAAAAATTTTAAGTAGGTATGTTCATTTAATTCTAGACTGAAGAAACATTAGCTTATCCGGCGGTGATGATGGCTCAATGGTTAAAGGCGCCTGGTCTTGCTATTGCTATGACTGGGTTCGAATACAAAGAGATCCCCACCTATCATATGCAATGTATATGATGCGTGGTTTGCACGCGTATTCATATACGCTGTGTGTGTTTGTCGTTGAAACCTCTGAAGCAAACCCAAAAGAGAGAGAGAAACCTTTAATCTTTATCCAGAGTTTCATCTGACGTCTGACAGCGGCGCACACTAAAAAATTGTGAAGCAACGCTGAATAGTTTTTCAAAAGCAGCTGAACTGGATAGTGTGGCTACGAGTTGGCAGAGTGA